GTTTTTGGTGACATCGAAGTGAGAGAGAGTGGTCGATTAGCTGTTGCGAAGTCAGGAACTCATGCAAGTATTTATGGTACTAGTCTGTATTCAATCGATGTTCATCAAATTTCGATCGTCCTGAAAATCGACAAATTATGTGACTGGATATTTCTTGGTATTATATCCTCTTCGGATAAAAAAGGAAAGAAAAACGAGAAAGAAGCTCGCTCCTCGCCATTTGCTTTCGGATGGTGTGGAGCTAACAAAAGATGTGCTTCGGTTTATATGAGCGGCTTTTACAATGAGGGTTATGGTGCTTTTGACGGTGATATCATTGATAATGACAGACTAGAGCTAACAGTCAACTGTAGTGAGAGAAAGATTCATTTGTTCAACAATCGTACAAAGAAAACATATGAGATACCAATCGATATTAGGAGCTGCTCAGTGCCTTGGATATTTGCTGTTAATTTTGGATTTCCTGGGGATAGTGTACGTATATTGTAAAGAAGAAGGAAACGACCAGAACAAGAGTTTCACTGGACTTTCGTCCCAAGTTGCACTGGTGAACATTTTCGTCTCGAAAAACTAAGATTTTCACGGTTCACGAGTAACGTAAAGCAAACAAGTATGAATGTCCCTTTAATTTACTCTGAAGTTTGTCCGTAATAGTTCATAAGTTGGACAATAAGACGGCTTTCCCTGAGTGATTTTTGCAGATCCAGTGGGAGGAATAGTGGTCCCAAAATAACCTATTCTTTTCTGGATAAACGTTCTTATCTGAACTTCTCAGTAGAAGATTTCGTCAAAAGTGCCCCATTTGAGCCCTTATGATGGAGCATTGCTCATTATATTTGATGTTGAAGCTTATGAAGTAATTTTAGTTTACGGAATTTGATGAACACCGCTTGAATACAAACTGAGAGAACGATTTAGTGAAGTTTTTGGTGCTGTGGAAGTGAGAGAGAGTGGTCGATTAGCTGTTTCAAAGTCAGAAGATGCAAGTGTTTATGGCACTAGCTTGTATTCAAGCGGTGTTCATCAAATCTCGATCGAAATCGTGAAAGAAAGTGACTGGATATGCGTTAGTATTATATCCTCTTCAGAGAGAAAAGAGCTTTGTCCTTAGCATCTGCTTATGGATAGCATAGCTTGCTCCTAAGCATAGATCTTTTTCTTTAGACGAAGTTTCTACACAAGATTCTTTAGGGCCGATAAAAAAGATTAGATCAAGAATGAAGGTTACACCTTATTCTAATCAGGCAAATTTAAGACGTTCTACTCGTATAGCGGGAAAACCTAAAATCTTCTGCACTCTCTGAAAAGAATAGTTTTAATTCTACTACTAAGCAAAATAAATCTGCTCCCTTTCGACACATTCAAGACACAAATCATACAATCAATTGGGACGGTTTGTAAAATTCTTTTGAATGACGAAAATGCATATCATCTCCTGATTAAAGAATCTCTCGTCATCTTGAGTCATCAACCTAAACTTAACAATACGGTATGTTCAGTACCACTTTTCAACTTTCCAAATTGTATATCAGAAAATCTAGTCCCACATCCAATAGGTTGAATAGTACTTATATTAGAGAGAAATTCTACATTAATTCAAACCAGTTTATTTAAAAATAATTTAAAGTTTTTGTCCATGCTCTACAAGATGAGACGGCTTAGAAAAAAATCTGAAATAGTCACTGAGCACGCGTCTGTGAGACACAGTCGTCTTTCTCGTGCAATGACTCCTAGGTAGAACCCAAAGAGACCAACAGAACCGTAAAGGGATTTGTCCCCATCTGAGCGAAAAACAAGTAACTCTATTTTCAGTTTATTCAAATTTTGAAAGCTAGACCAATAACAGTCAGAAATAAGGATAACATAACCTTTTTTCGCCTATAAGCGATGTTCAGTTATTTCGGTTTCAATTTTAATCCAAAACTCGGTTAACCGAACTGATGTATACTCACTCTGGAGAAGTTTCAAAATCTTTTTCGACCTGACATGTTACAAATGGACCGACGGATTCAGAAGACCCTAATTTTTAGACACCCATAATAGTTGTATGTAAAAATGTGCAACTACAAATGTACATGTAAGTTTTTCACTGTATTATTACATTATACCAGATAAAGGAAAAACTACAGAAAAAATATTGTTACTAATGTGCTGCTGGTCCATGCTCAGAAGTATCACGTTCTCCTTGTGATAACTTTGATCGAACTTATCTTTTTAATTTAATTATTGTCTCTCGTTTTGATGCTACTGACTCAGCTTTGAAGTACGTTTACTGTCTTTCTCTAAATTTGGCCTAATGCTATAGCATGCCGTGACACGATATTACCGCGAAGACTCGTTTATTAGAAAAGAAGAATAAATGAGCCTCGTTTTGTATTTTGTATATCATGTTTTGAAACATGGGTGAAGTTATGTAGTTAATAGTCATTATGTGATACAATTACAGATATCCAGTTTCATTGCTTATCGTGTTTCACCGGTTTTCTCTTCGGTACACGATAAACTGAAGCTCACTATTTATAGCAGTGTGGAACCCGTGATACGACCTTCCGCGAACCGAACTCTCACTCTTCCACGAATTTTCATAGTATACATTTGAATATTTCTGGCAGTGTTCGCGGGAGGTGTGGGAGAGGGCATTGTGAGAGTGAGTTCGACAAGTAGTTCCACACAAAACATATTTCTTCTCGGTAACGTAGCTGTATCGAGTGAACATGCGGAAGCAAAGCGTACACTATGTCTGTTGCATGGTCAAGTGGCGATCGATATGAAGGAAGTTGGAAAAACGACAAAAAGCATGGTCATGGCACTTACTGTTGGGCTAGTGGAGGCAAGTATGTGGGTGAATGGGCCGATTATGTTCGCCAAGGGCAAGGAGTACTTACATGGCCAAGTGGCGATCGGTATGAAGGAAGTTGGACAAACGACAGGATGCATGGTCACGGCACGCTGTATCTTGTCAATGGTAGTATCGAATAAGGCGAGTGGACAAATGACACATTTACCGGTTGAAATTTCTTTTCAACATTTGTATTGTAATAGTTTCTC